CCTCCGGGGCAGGCAGGAATCGAACTCATGCGGAAGTGGCTTTAGCTTCTTAGTGCTGTGCTTTAACCCGCTGCGCCACCAGGGAGGGCCCCAGAATAGCTATTTTTAATGTAACTGTTTCATACACTCTCAGTGAGACTTAACATCAAACTAGAGAAACACTGCTGGTAGAACTGCAAATTTATGGCAAACTGCTTATATTCATTATTTACTAATGTTGAACATTTGTATGCCCTATTACTAGTACTTTTCCTTTTTGAAATATGTACACTAAAAGGTATGTACAAGAATATTTATTGCAATACTAAAAGTAATAGTGTCAGACAGAATATCTGTCAATAGTATGAATAAAGTTGTGATGTGTTACTTGAGTTACCATATAAGCAATAAAAATGAACAATTTGTAAAGTTGTAAAAGTGAACAAAATGTAATTTGTACAACACAGATAAATCTTGTAATGTTGATCAGAAGAAATTAGACACAGGGGCCTCCCTGGTGGTACAGGGTATTAAAACAGAGCACTATGCAGATATCTGCAGCCACTGCACGACGAGTTCGATCCCCAATCAGGGAGGTGACCCAAATGGTGTGGCAGACATCGTCTGACCAATCCCCTCAGCAGTGTACTTCACCTCATGGCCTGTTCTGCTCCCCACTCTGTCTCTGATGAATCCTCTCACCATCCTGCACCTCTGGCCTGTACCCCAGTTCTGTATACATAAATAAATAAATCTGAAAAACAAAGTCAGGATGAATTAGAATCTTGTGATGGTAGAAATAACCGCTGGGTATTGATGGTCAGGGATCATAAGAGGGGCTTCTGGGCATTGTTAGTGTTGTATTTATTGATCTGATTGTGGCTATTTTTGATGATAATTAATTGAACTATGTGCTTATGATCTGTATAATTTCCTATATGTGTGTTACTTTTCAATAAAAACATTTTTCACATGGATATAATTAAACAATCAAAAGTAGTTGAGTGATCACATTCAGTGACCACAGTGATCAAAAAAGACAGACTCATGTCATTTGAGACAACATAGATAGAGCTGGAAAAGATAATGCTAAGTGAAATAAGTTAGAAGGAGAAAGATAAATGGTTTCACTAATATGTGGAATATAAAGTAACTAAATTAATAGTCCCTTTAAAAAAGCCGAAAAACTAACCTTTGATAGCTGACTACAGAACTGAGACACCAAGGAGAGAGGGGTCAGGAGAGCAAAGAACAAATTGGAAAGAAAGCACAGTGGTCTAAGGTAATGGAACCAGGTGAGCTAGTGGTGGGTGCACCCTTGTGGAATACGTGGTAGGAATACCCCAATATCACCTCAGTTAAAAAATGCATTATTCTGGGCCCTCCCTGGTGGCACAAGTGGGTTAAAGCCCAGCACTACAAGTGAGCTGCACCTGCTTCTGTGTGAGTTCCTGCCCCAGAGGTGATCCACATGGTGCGGCAGACCTCTCCTGACCCGCCCACTGCTCCCTACTCTGTTTCTGGTGAATCCTCTCACCGCCCTTGCTCCTCTGGCCTGTACCCCAGTTCTGTATGAACAAATAAATAAATCTTTTTTAAAAATACATTATTCTTTTTAAAAAAAAAACAAAAATGTAGTTGAGCCAAATGGGGCATGGAGATTTGGTAGGTTTTTATGCTGTTCTTCCTATTATTGTGTGTATTTGAAATTTTCCATCATAACTATTTTTTTAAAGATTTTTTTTTATGCATACAGAACTGGGGTACAGGCCAGAGGTATAGAACTGGGGTACAGGCCAGAGGTATGAGAGAATTCACCAGAGACAGAATGGGGGGCAGAACAGGTTGACTGACAAAGTACACTGCTGAGGGGAGCAGCTGGCGGGCCAGGAGAGGTCTGCCTCACCATATGGGTCAGCTCCGGGGCAGGGATCGAACTGGTGCTGAAGTGGCCTTAACTTCTTAGTGCTGCGCTTTTAACCCCCTGCACCGCCAGGGAAGACCCTCATAAAAACTTTTTAAAGGAACCAACTGAGAAGTAGAAAGTGCTGTACTTCCAATAAAACTATAGTAAGGCAAACTGAACATTATTCCAACATTAGCAGTTATCTTTCTGTCTTTCTTACATTTTATTTTTTTAGGCCTTACTTCACCCCTTTCATTATCTGCACCTACCAGTGATTCTACGGATTCAGTAACAAGACAAAACTCAAGACAAAGAGAAGAAGAACTGGAATTAATAGATCAACTACGGAAAGTATATACATTACCTTGAACTATACTTTACAGTAATGTTGCTGTAGCCCATGTCCTGCAATCACTTGTTCATTTGGTTTATACTCTCTAGTAGAATGAAGTGCCCATTGAGTGTTGGGCTGCCTGTTGTGAGATGAATGTAAAAAAACACGTTGCTTCTAAGGAATTCTTTTCAGCTGTTGACTAGAGAAGTGAGAGGATTCTATAAAGTTCTATCCCTGGCCTTACTCATTTTAAATTTTTTTCTGTGTTATGTTGTAATATTTATATGTATGTACATATGTACCTCTCACTCATATATAGTATTTGTTTTGGAATTGAAAGAGAATCTAGGTTTTTATTGTTTTAATCTGAACGTTGTGAATTTATTTCTGTTGTACTTTGCACCACTGTTGTCTGGCTGCTGTATACAAATATTGAATCTCAAGTTATTGACTTAAAAGAATAAAATAAGGATTTTGTACTTATTTGCTTTTTATCTTGATTTCTAATGAAATATATTATGTTACAAATTCATTGTATCTTATGTGTTGGTCACTCAATTAATGTTACATATTTTCCTGTCCTTTCAGCATATTGAATACCGGTTGAAAGTATCTCTGCCTTGTGATCTTGGAGCAGCTCTAACCGATGGGGTTGTTCTTTGCCATTTGGCTAATCATGTGCGGCCTCGATCTGTCCCAAGCATTCACGTTCCCTCACCAGCTGTAGTAAGTTTATAATACTAAAAAATGTTGGCCATTCATCAAACATTCATTATGTATAGTGGCAGGCATAGTACAGAATGCTCAGGATGCTGAAGAGAGTCTAGTTCCTGCCTTCTTAGGTCTCACTTATACTAGAGAAAAAGTGGGCATGTAAATAGTAACCTAGAGCTGTGCGATAAGTGTTATAAGACAGTTGTATAAGGAAAAAATACATAAAACTCTGCTTGGAGATTTCAGGAAAAATATTCCAGGAGAGGTGAAAAGTGTGGCTCAGAATTTGCCAACAATATAGAGAGAAAGGATGGCATTCCAGACATAGTATTCAAAAGTTAAGAAAAGTTACAGCAGGGTCCCTCCTGGTGGTACATCAGGTTAAAGCACAGCACTATGAAGCTCTCTACAGCCACTGCAGCATGAGTTCAGTCCCCAGCGAGGGAGATGACCCAAATGGCACAGCAGACCTCTCCTAACCTGGCCACTTCTCCCTTCAGCAGTGTGTTTCTGTAGATCTGCCTGTTCCGTTCTCCATTCTCTCTGGGGAGGTGGGTCCTTTCACACCACCCACCCACACCCCTGCCCACCCCTGCCTTGCCTCTGGCCTGTACCAGTTCTTGTATGAATAAATAAATCTCTAAAAAAGAAAAATTATGACATACTCAAGAAATTCTTGTTCAGAATAGGGATTCTTAAGATTTTCATACACAAGAACTGGCTGTACATGGTAGGGAATGTAACTGGAGATGTAAGCCAAGGGCCTTCTGACAAGAGAACCTCATGTACTATGTACACAGAGTTAAATTTTATCTTAGTGGAGATAGGAAATTCTGAAACAATTTGAGGAAACTAATATGATAATAATTGCAGTTGAGATTGATAACTTTTGGCACATGGAATTGACATTGCTTACTTACCAACCTCAGGTAGATAACGGGGGAGAAATATCATTCAAGATGACAGGCAGGTTCTTTTTATACAGCTGGTTAAATCTGGATGTTGGACACTGGATGACACTCCAAAAGAGTGGTTTTGGATTGATGGATTTCTTTTTTTTTTCTCCTTCAAATTGTTTTATCATGAAAATTTTCAAACCTCTAGAAAAATTGAAAGAATAACACAGGAAAACTCTTTAATTAATTTTTTCAAAGAATTATTTATTTATGCATTTACAACTGGGGTACAGGCCAGAGGTGCAAGAGTGGTGAGAGGATTGACCACAGGCAGAGTAGGGAGCAGAACAGGCAGATTTACGAAGTACACTGCTGAGGAGAGCAGCAGGTGTGACAGGAAGTTCTGCTGTGCCATGTGGGGCTCCTCCCTAGGGATAGAACTCATGCTGAAGCTGCAGCAGATAGCTTCATGGTGCTGTGCTTTAACCAGTTACACCACCAGGGAGGGCCCAGAAAGACTCTTAAAATTTCCACTTAGGAAAAAAAAAGATAAAAAAAGACAACAACAACAAAAAAACTTTGGGTCTGATGTTCATCACATTTGCCATCTACCTTTGTCTCTATTTGTGTATGTATTTGTATATTTTAACTGTACCATTTAAAAGTCGGAGCAGTGGGCTGATACCTCCTTCCTCAAGGTGGGATTGTGGTGTTAATTCATCTCTAATTCTCTCTGTAGGATCAGGCTGAAACCAAGAAGGGGACAGCTGTGCTTCACTAGCAGTCAGCAGGAAGTTGGGGTTAGAAAGTGAGGGTTGGTACACAGCCTAGATAACACCAAGTGAGGCACCAGGAGCATCCATAAGCTGTATTCCGATTTCTGCAGTTGTTCCAAGAATATCTTTCTTTCATGACTGCTCTCTTCCCCAGTGCACACATATACACAGTATAATCAAGGTTCCCATGCTGCATTTTGTTAGGCATTTTGACATCTTCTTTTGATGACCTTGAGATATGGATTTGTAATATGTATAGGCAGTGTCTAACCTTCTCAAAAGGAGTGCCTTTAGCTCATTGTCTAGGTTTTTTTTGTTTTTGTTTTTGTTTTTTAGTAGGTCCTTTGTTTTAATCCTAAACTGATTTAAGAAAATAGGAATTAACTTGCTGTTTGGCAATGCCAGTAAGGAAAGGGTTTGTTCATACTTTGCATTCTGCCCAGTTTCTATCAAATGAGTTAAGAAAAAGAAGGATAAAGCCTGTCATTTTCATTTCCAGGAGAATATTTAGGAAGTGACAAGAATTAATATAGAAAGTGAAATTTGAGAATAGGGATGACTTGATTTTCTTCACCTTGATCAGCAAAATATATAATTTATGTTTTTCTGTTCAAGAATATAAAATAGGGGCCCTCCCTTTCTGTATGGTCATAAGAAGAAGTAAAGAAATATAGAAGTGAGAAAGAGTTATTCATATGAAGGAAAAAATAGATGTAAATACTTATACTGAAACCTAATACTGAAACAGAAACCCCATTAAAACAATATTGACTTATTTATGATCTGCTTCAATCAAAGGCCATTTAGTCACTCCTAAAAGCTGTAATTTGGGAAGTTTTATAAATATATGTATTTCTTCTTAACTTTACTGGCCATTTATTAATCAAAAAGATTCACTCTTAAGCAGTTCTCATTAGGCCTTCTCACTTTAAGTTTCAAGGGTACCATTTCATAAAAGACTTCCTTTGTTTTTTTTGAAGAGGCATTAATGTTCTTAATTAGACTATTGGTTTTTTTTCTTTATAATATAATAGTTTATTTTTATATCATTTATACTTTTTTTTTCATCTCAATTGTAAGCCCCATGGATTTCCCATCACCGAGTGAGAGATTGGACTATTTGTAACTCATCTCTGTACCTTCTGATCCTGGCAAAATGCCTGATATTGTCAGATGTTCAATAAATATGAGTAAGGTTTATGGTTGATTTTGCTAACAAGTTTTAATCCTATTTCAAGTTTCATATCCTTGAGGGGAAGAAATAATACAGTTCACATTTTTAGACATGTACAATTGGAATTATACCAAAAAATCATTTATAAATAATCTGAATGAACCATTATCACCAAGGAAGGAGACTTGAAAAAACTGTAAATCATTTCATATATCCAGAATAGCAAAATTATTTATTGTTCCTTTCAGTATCAGTTATGCTCTTGTGGAAATCACTTTCTCCCTAAAACCTACATAATCTTTCTTACTCAGTTCAGGCTAGCAATAGAAAAGTCTATATACATTACTATTCAAAACTATATATTATGTCATCTGAGTTTTTATTTTATTTATTTTTTAGATTTACTTTTTTTTTTTATTTATGCAAACAAGAACTCTGGGGTACAGGCAAGAGGTGCCAGGGTGGTGAGAGGATTCACCTGAGACAGAAAGGGGAGCAGAACAGTTAGATATATTGAAATACTCTGCTGAGGGGAGAAGTGGGCTGGCAGGAGAGGTCTGCTGGGCCATGTGGGTCACTTCCCATGCCGGGGATCAAATTCATGCCGCAGTAGCTGTGGCTAGCTTCATAGTGCTGTGCTTTAACCTGTTGCGCCACCAGGGAGGGCCCTCATCTGAAATATTAGAAAAGCTTTTGAGGATAGTAAATTCCTATGAGATTTGAGTTATGAATCCTTCTGCACGCCAGAGAAATAAGGAATATACAGCCTTGGGTCCTTCTGACTAGTGATTCCTTTGGACAGATATAGAGCAGAGGTTTGTAACCACGGATTCATGCACTCCAAGTGCTTCTGAGGCTCTATGAATGCTTTAAGATTATGTATGTGTGTATTCTCCAGAATAGATTCATAGTTTTCATCAGACTGTAAGGAGTTGGGTTCCAATTAAGAAATAATGACTTACAGAGCCCTCCCTGCACAGGGTTGGAGCGCTGCACTGCAAAGATAAGCCAGGCTGTGCTGTGGCAGCTTCAGTGCGAGTTCAATCCCTCCCCAAGAGGTGAACTACATGGCAGAGCAGAGCTCTACTGTCTCACCCGCTGCTCCCCTCAGCAGTGTACTTTGTCAATCTGCCTGTTCTGCTCCCCACTCTGTCTCTGGTGAATTCTCTCACCATCCCTGAACGTCTGGCCTGTGTATGCATAAATAAATTAAAAATCTTTTAAAAAGAAACATTGACTTACATCTCTGGAATTTAAATAAATGTGAAGAGAAGGTGTGACATGTGAGGTAGATGGTCCCTGCTTCCGTTCCCTTTTATCACTCAGAAATCTGCCCTTTGCAGGGAAATCTCAGTCCCCCCATTTTCCCATTTTTCACAGGTGTGTTATGGGGTACTAGTAGTCCTCAGAGAACTAGTACTCAGTTACACACCATGCTAATTCTGAACCTTCTTTTCTTTTTGTCTGAGATCTGATAATTCCTAAACAACATTTGAACTTGAGCAACATGAACCTTATTCTTTTAGCCTTTCTTTTTGCCCACTAGTGATTTTTTTTTTTTTGCTGATGAGATCAGACTTATTTCCATAGATGTTGATGTTTGAACAATAGCATTTCAGGAAGTTATGATTTACTTTTTTTGATCGAACAAAATGCCAGACCCCCTTCTTTTGCTAGAATCTCTCACTCATAGTGTCCCAGGCCATATACCCTGCTTTCTCTCTCAAACTTAGCAAATCAGGGTCCTGATTTGCTCAGCCAAGATTCCTACATATTTAGAAAGAAATCTAATTAACTGTTTTTGCTTCCCTTTCCAGGAGGTTGAAAGGGAAGCTGGTATGTGGTGAGAGAATTTCAAGCTAATGGAAAATTTTCCTAAGTAAAAAGCAGTTCTGTCTTTTAATTTGCTTATCTTCTCTTAAAGTCAAGCCATCGTCCCACTAGCTTTTACCACAGTGATGCTTTCCCTGTGCCTTATATCAGAAATTGAGTGACAAGACCAGGGCCACTTGTCCAGTGAACAACCTGCATTTTATCTGTAGAAAATAGGAGAGAAAGAACCCTGTTTCAGTGTAAACTGGCTAGTGTGAACCCTCATGATTGTTTTTCTTCTTCAGTTAAGATCATGATTCTCCCATTTATGTTTCACTCTTTTTAAAATTATTTTACGTCAATTATAGAGGAACTTGGGGTAGTTAAAAAAGGCTGTCTATAGGATGTAACTCCTGTTCTCTTTTTGGTCCTTTCGGAATGTTTTTCAACCTGAAATTTAAAAGATTTTCCTCCCATCCCACTTACTTTTTGATAGAACTAAATGCCCAGGCCCCCTTCTCTTTTTAGAATCTCTGTCACACAGTGCCCCAGTGCTTTCTCTTCTCAAGCTAATCTTTTATGAGAAAGCAACTCCTAGCACCTCCCACCTTTTTGAGACTAAGATTATATCCTCTAAGAACTATTGTGTATTTATCTTATTGTCCCTCTTCTGGTAACAGAGTATTACACTCCATCTTTCAAGAAAACCTTTATATTATCATGTAAGACCTTTTTATTTCTCATTTTAGAATAGGCTTTCATCAGTTTAATTTGTAAAAACTCTGGTCAGATTCCCTATAATCTTTTTTTTTTTAAATAATATGTTTATTTTTTCATCGATTTGTGCATTTTTCCATCTCAGTTATCCCCTACAGACTTTTAAGGCTTTCAGGACTGATGATTAAACAATCAACCATTTAATTTAAACCTTAAATCTGTTCATCATTTTGGGAAATGGGGTTTACATTTCTTTCGTACATTATAATCCATGACAACCTACTAGTTGAAAACTTTATCATCTCTGTGTTTTGGTACAGAATTCTGTGTTTCTAGTTAGAGAGCTTTTCAGGAAACATAATTTCTTTGTGTTCTTTAACATGTCTTTAAATTAAAAAATTAAAATTAAGCATTTTTTTTAATATTACCATTAAGTGGAGGCAGGATATACCTATAGCATATTTGTGGGTAAAAGCTGTTTGGTTTATTTTGTAATTTTTTTTGTTTGTTTTTCAATACATTCAAGTTTCTTTTCTGACCCATAGAAAGATAACATGTTTTACATGGGTATTTAGTACATAAGCATATATAGCACATATTTTTATAGCACATATAATTGAAACAAAACTTTCATATTGGAAATGAACCAGAATGTTCACTATGATTTTATTTGAATGGGAAAACTGTGGGTAATTGGGTTTTTTGCTTTTCTGAATTTTCATTAGTGTATATTATTTTAAAATATTTTTTTAAAGATTTATTTATTTATTCATACAGAACTGGGGTACAGGCCAGAGATACAGAGGGTGAGAGGATTCACCAGAGACAGAGCGGGGAGCAGAACAGGCAGATCAACGAAGTACACTGCTGAGGGGAGCAGCGGACGGGTCAGGAGAGGTCTGCCTCGCCATGTGGATCTCCTCCGGGGCAGGCAGGAATCAAACTCATATGGAAGTGGCTTAAGCTTCTTAGTGCTGTGCTTTAACCCGCTGCACCACCAGGGAGGGCCCTATTTTAAAATATTTTTAAAAATAAATTTCCCTATTTAGTATTTGTCTTGCAAAAAATCAAAATCAATGCCTGATTTCAATCCCCAGCCAGGGAGCAAACCCACATAGCACAGCAGACTTCTCCTGTGGCACCCACTATTCTCCTTAGGAGTGCATTTCAGTAGATCTGCCCGTTCTGCTTCCCACTCTGTCTCTGGCTAATTTTCTCACCATCTAGTCCACCAACAAACACCTCTGACCTATACCCCAGTTCTTTTACTCAAAAATCAATAAGCAAAAAGTTTTTTTTTAAGTCACATATCTGGCACTCCCTGGTGGCACAGTGGGTTAAGATGCAGCACTGCAGGCTTACCACAGCCCAAAATAAATCTTTTTTTAAAAAAAAGTCAAATATCTAAAGTAGGGAGAAGCAAACTATGGTCCACAGGCTATTACCAACTTTTGTAAATAAAGTTTTAGTGGGACATAGTCACACTGTCTTGTTTTGAATTTAGGTTCTTGGCAGAATTGAGTAATTGCTACAGACTATACAAATCTCTTATTATCTGATCCATTAAGAAAAAATTTGCTGAGGGGCCTCCCTGGTGAGCAAGGGTTAAGACAGCACTATGCAGCTATCTACAGCCATTGCAGCACAAGTCCTATCAGTGGGCAGGGAGGTGACCCACATGGCACAGCAGGCCTCTCCTGTCTTGCCTACTGTTCCCCTTTGAAGTGTATTTCAGTAGATTTGCCTATTCTGCTGCTCTTCTCTCTGGTGAATACTCTTACCCACCCCCTGCATCTCTGACCTACACCCCAGCTCTTCTATGCATAAATAAATAAATTTTAATTAAAAAGTTTGCTGACCATCTGGTCTAGAGCATAAGTATTCTTAAAGTTAGAAATATTTTTAAAACTTTGCTAGTAACACCACATTTTTCTTTCCTTGCAGCCTAAATTAACAATAGCAAAATGCAGGCGAAATGTGGAGAATTTCCTAGAAGCTTGCAGAAAAATTGGTGTACCTCAGGTAATAAGTCTGTCATTTTTTATGTTACCCAAATACACCTGGATATTGATTGCCTAAAATCTTTCAGAAATTCAAGTATCTAAAATCTTACAGGACTAACAGCTAATTTGAAAATTACTAATATGATTTTACTTTAATACAATCAGTAGTTACTTTTGAGCAGTTTTCCTTAGTAAATTCCAAGGACAAGCAAAGAAATCATCCACATACAAATTTAGTAATCAAAAATAGTTATTCTGATATTTTCCTGAACATCTCCACTTGCTGTTTGACTTATATCAACTTCACACACAACAAAGAATAAGTTAAAAAAAAAAAAACTTTACACACAACAGAATGTATACTTCAAAATAAGTGTTATCTCAGAATGAGAATGCTTTCATTGGCTTCAGATTTTTAACATCTGCTTATAATATTTTTTAAAAAGTGTCTACTTTGAAATACTTTTTAAACTTAAACATTGCAAAGTAAGTTACTGTATACATTTCACCCAAGTCCCTCCTCTGTTACATCTATGTAAAAATGACATATGATCCAAACTCACATGCATTGATAATCTGTTATCTAAATTACAGCTTTTATTCAGATTTCACCAATTTTTTTTTTCACTAAACTCTAATACTTTGACATTTAGTATATATCAAGTACCTCCAGGTTTCTCAGTTAAACCTTTATTAATAGTACAAATAGTTTTAAATATTTTTATAGAAGTGATTAAGGAACATAAATTTCATATACTTTTTATTTAACTATCCTTTTAAAACTAAGTATAGTACTCCAAGGAAGTGTTATCTTTAATGAAATGACTTATAAATTTAAAGAAGTGATAGTTTGGTGCTATGTAGAGCTATTTAATGCCTAACTGCAACATTAAAAGTTTTTCTCACCATATCTAGTCCAAGAACACCACATTTTCAAGAAGACATGACTTTTTTCTAGTACTTTCTTAATTAGCTGTCAGAAACTGAAACTGGCCCATGGTCGCAATACCACCACAGTTTGCTTTGAAGTCAATAGCTTACCCCAGTAGCTGTCATGACCCACCTCACTTTACCCAGCTACCATCCCTCTCTCTGTATTTATCAAGAGTTGAGAAGGTCACAGCATCATTTGCTCAATGAAGACCTTCTTCAGCCCTTTCACATGTTGAAAGTGGAATAGAAAGAGCCAACTCTGGAGTGTCTGTATTTACCAGCATGAATTCCTGTGAGTGTTTTTCTACTTTTGTTAAGTAGATTGCAATTCTACTATTTATTTTCCAGTTTTCTTTTGTAATTTTTTTAAACTGAAATTATATGCAAGGACTTTTTTTCCTTGAGGACAAATTCAAATTTTTTATTTTTATATCATAATGATTTCTAAAGGCTCCTTGTCTCTTTCAGAGTAAGCCTTTTAAGAGAATATTGAGAAAAGCATTATATTTTAAAAAACATACTCTTTAAGATAATGTTAATAATATTTCTAAACAAATTACATGCATTTTCTCCCTATTACTATTAGCAAGTAGCTTCTAATATTTCTATGCCAACATTAATTTTCTGCCTAATGAAGATGGCCCTACCTAATCACCACATTATATAATCATATGCAGTAGCCACCCCAGTCCCATACTGCAATGACTTTAAATAATTGAATGTGAAATGTTGACATACAAACCAATACAAATGTAGACTATGACATATAGACCATACAAACCAGAGAAAAAATAAGAGTGATTAGAAAGAGGCCCTGCATCCCTAGGAGAAGAGTGCAGAAAAAGGCCCCACATAGCAAGACATGCTGGCACATTTAATTTCTGTCAAACTATTAAAAGTATTACTTACCAATGTTTATAATCATTGTCTTTGTCGTCTGGACTTTATAGAACCATCTGTTTCAGATATGAAGCCCCTACACTAGAATTCTTTCAGATTGCACCTCCCATCTGTCAGCAAATAACAGAAATGTGCCATACAGTGTGCATTTAATTCAATATTTACCAGTCAGTAATTACTAGGAGCAGCGTACCCCATTCCTCCCAGAGTGATGCTGTTTGAGAATGGATACAAAAACAGAATTTTTAAAGGTTAGATATTTTTCCAAGATGATTCAGTTCTTTGTACATCCTTCTTCCTTCTCTCACCCATCAGAAAGAGGAAATGGGTGTGCCCTCTGTGCCACTTCTTCCGTCTCCCTTTTTATCTTCTCCCCAGATCTGTACCACTAGTCTTAACCACCACTGGTGCTTTCAGAGGAATTCCTGTAGTGCTGCTATTTCTGCTAAAATGAAGGAAAATGAATAAATATACAAATTAATAAGTTCAAACTAGCATTCTCATCTCTGCCACGGAAGGAAAAAAGAAACCTCTTCCTTTGTTCTGCCCTACTTCTGTGCATTCTGCTCTGAACATTGCCACTGCTCTGTTTGATCTTGGGAGGTGAGGGGGTTGGTGGTGAGGAATGACATAATCACTTTGAAAATTTAATAGAATGTTAGATTCTGTGTCCAGAGAATATATATCTAGGTGAATGAATTCCCTTCTCAGTATTACTTTTAAACTTTTATATAAGTTAAATTATGAATGAGACATTTAAGACTATATTAACTAATTAAAAACATTTGCTAAAGGGGCAAGAAGAGCACAAGAGACTATGGCGATGGTGCACGGATGAATTGGTGGTGGAAATTCTATGGGGAGTACACCTGGAAAAAAAAAGCAAACACTATTTTTTTAAAAAAAAACAAAAACCAATGAACAATAATGTAAAATTAAAAAGAGGCGAGTTTGCCACTCAGAGTAAGATTAAAGTTACTGTCTTTGCTAAGATTGGGCATATGGATATTCTTTTATTATATCTTTATTAAATGTTACATTTTAAAAAATCTATGAGTTTCCAGTTGATCCAATATCTCTTTGTCTTGTAATATGTTAAAGAATACTTTCCTGTGATCAAGTCCAATATTTTATTCATTTATTTTCTTAATCTGTGAACTGGAGGCCCCCTTAAAGCTCTAGATTCACTTTGTACATATTGGTAAAATGGACTTGGACAAGATGGACTTGGTTTTTAGAGTAAACCAGATTCATTCCTGATTTTTAGGTTATAAGTTTCTATTTCCTCATTCTTTGAATGGTCTTAATTACCTGGCTTTCTTTTGAAAACTCCTCTCTCTTTAGCCTACCACCAGATTTTGACTTTGCTTTCTGAGCTATTCTTTATTTGTTAATAGATGAGGGTGAGAGTCAAGAAAGACTGCCTCATGTAGACCTCACTACTCTCAGGCCTCAAACCCCATGAGCCAGCAGCACCCAGTTCTGGTCCTTGTATCCTCAGTGTTCAGCCTAGTCCCTAAAAGCCAGTTTTATTCTGCTATTTAGGGGTAAAATCAAGTTGAGCACATAAAGAATTGATTCTCAGTAGGTTTTTTCCAGTGTTTAATTTTCATTCATCATAATAATGTTACAGTATATGTTTTTTTAAATATGATTGAGATGATCATAGTGCATTCTATACTCAAATCTATATATCTGATCCACTGACTTTTGTTTTTCTGTTTTCCTTTCCTGCTCACACATTGGACAGGACAATCTTTGTTCCCCTTCCGACATTCTTCAGCTAAACCTCAGCGTTAAAAGAACTGTTGAAACACTACTTTCTCTTGGGGCACATTCAGAAGAATCCAGTTTTGTGTCTCTGTCTATTCAGCTTTTGGGTTTTGTGGCATTTTATTGTACTTTAATGTTAACTCTCTGTATGTTTTATTACTGGATCTTTCCACTCTAGCTGAAAAGATTGCCTTCCAGTGGTTTTCCATCTCATTCCTGTGCTTGGTAAAGGAGGTTTGTTTATCATGCAGAAGTATTTCCATATATGCTTTTTCTTTTTTTCTGGCCATTAAAGAGCTAAATCCTTTCCTTATTTGTCATATAAGCAACCCATCACATTAATAAGTGTAGATAACAGAGTAAAAAATAATAGTTTTTTATTCTTTATAGTCATTTATCCATTCTCCCGGCTGTGACTTTATTTCTCTTATCACAAGTGCTAAAGCATTTCTACTAACATAGTGCTAATCCTGTTCTTACAGTATGACTTAGAACTTTATTTCCAGGTGACATAGTAAAACCACTTCTGGCCATCCTCCTTGCTTTAACACAATTTGAAATTGCAAGTTTCAACAACTATTATAAGGAAAATAATTGTGCCCTTTCTGGTTTTGGGTCACCTGGTCACTTGAGCTGTGCCCTAAAACCTTGCAGTTTCAGATAGTCCAGGTCTGCCTAAGCATTTGCTGTCCAGATAGATGGAAGGCAGAACCATTTAATCTCAATAATTTGATCAGAATGTCAAATAATTTTAATTTGATCAGAATATCTAGTCCGAAGATCACGCAGATTTTGTAGATGGCTTGACCCTCTGTGTACATTTAAAGTAGAACATAGCAAGAAGCAAAGTGATCTGGAACTGATTTTAAGGGGCAGGTAGTTATCTTTTAACTGAGACTCACTTCTAGAATTCTACTTAGAATTTAAAATTGGAAATGTAATTTCTAATATATTTGAATCATCTTAGTGGGTGAACTTCTAATTTATGTAGGTTGTTGAGATTACATCTGAACAATAGCAGAAAAGTTTCAGACAGTAATCTGTTCTGTTCTCAATGCAGTGACTTGTATCTTTCAGAACGCTTAGTATATTAGCTGCTAATTTTAGCACTTGACACTATTTTATAATTGCATTGATCCTTTAGTACTCATAAATAGTGTTTGTGGATACCAGGAATCTCTTGACTCTATTAACAAAATTGGACAATTGAAGTCTAGTAGGAAGGGAAGATTGCAAGGAATATAATATCCTGTTGTAGCAATCAGCCTGAGGGTCTGATTGTTCTGGTATTCTTACATAAAAATGGGTCAGTATTTAAAACATTTACAAGCTATTTATTGTTAATGCCAAAACATTGAACACTGTTGGAAACTTCAGGTTTATAAGAAGTAGTGCCTTCCAAACTACGGGGAGTTAGGATTTTTCTTTTTAAAGATGTTCTCTGAGTTAGTGATCATTCAGTTTTGTGGAATTTTGTCCTTTAAAAAAAAGTGATAAAAAAAACACATGGTCTCATGTGTGATTTTGGAGTAGTTGTGTATTGTTTTCAGAACATACAGCATTTGATAAGCCGGCTGTATGTGGAAAGCAGAAGTTTCTGAGGGGATAGTTATACAAATCAAAGGACCCTACTGAGGAGATAAAAATCAGGGAAACTGCTTTGGACAAAATGTCTTTTGGGAAAAAAAAAAAAACACCCTGCAGGCTTCTTCTAAGTTCAGTATTTGCAGTAGCACTCAAGGTGTTCATACAGAGTTGCTAGTTTTACAAGATGAAAAGATTGCAGTTAGCTTGTTTTATCAAAGTATTATGCAAAAAGTAGTTAAGTAGCACAGTACAATAACTACTACTCAACATAGGTTTTTTTTTTTCTATTTTTTTATTGCAGTTGGCTTTGTAAAACACTAATCATATAGTAAATATTTGCTAATGAAAAGCAAAGAAAAACCCAGTTATCTTTAACAAGTGTGTGCCAGGATTCCTCTTTTCTGTTCTTTATTAAAGCAATCTCTTTTCTTGCTGAATAGTCTTAATAGAAAAGCCTGAGAGGCCCTCCATGATGGTGCAGCAGCTTAAAGCACAACACTATGAAGCTATCCGCAGCCACCACAGCACAAGTTTGATCCCCAGCCAGGGAGCTGACCCACATGGCGTGGCATACTTCTCCTGTCCCGCCCGCTGCTCCCCTCAGTGGTGTACTTCAGTAGATCTGCCTGTTCTGCTCACTGCTTTCTCCCTGGTGAATCCTCTCACCCTCCCATATCTCTGGCTGTACCCCAGTTCTTGTATGTTTAAATAAATAAATCTTAAAAAAAAAAAACCCTGATAGGTGTTAATCTTAAAATATGACTTTTCTCTCATAAGAAATGATTGACTACACAAATTAATTTTCTCTCATAAGAAATGATTGACTACACAAATTAGTACTTTTACTTCCTTAAACAAAAATGTAAACACTTCTAAAATACATACTATGTAGTATAGTCCTGAATGAGCTAATATCATAATCTCTAGCCTAATTTACTGCATTAAATACCAGGATTTGAAGTACTTTACTTTGTTTTTTAATTCTGTAATTCTGCTTTTTAACCAGTTTGTACTAAGTATCAAGGGCACATATCAGTTTCTCTTTATGCTACCTGCTTAGTATGAGAAACTTGGTTTTCTCAAGCAGGATTATAACGAGATGGCAGGCATCCTTTCTCATGCAGGCTGAGGTATGCTGTGAACCCATCTTGCATTCCAACAGTACTTTCCAAAGCACTACCTCTACAGGTTATATCTTTCAGGTTGGGGCCACCTGGTAATTTGAAACCTTTTTTCTGTTCTCACCTGTCTTATTTTATTCATCTGCACTGCTCCCATTTATCAGGGATGAAGGATGTTGCTTTCACTTCACAGTATTCTGTTCTTTCTCTGTTGTGTAGATAAGTGTATGTAACTTGCCCATTTTCCAGTTTTCAAAATGATCTGCATATACTATTAGTTGTGTTATTAAAATGACAGTGTCAGACACCTTCTTTGTCTGACTCCTATAAACAGAGGTCAGCTTTCCAGCTTTTTTATCTCAGTTGTTTGTTATGAGGGAAAGAGGTGCTTTTTTTTTTTTAATTCTTTTCAGTTGTTGTGATGTTCATCCTATTTTCTCTTTTGTTTGTTTTTATGTTACATTGTCCATTTCAGGAGCAATTATGTTTGCCTCTCCACATTTTAGAAGAGAAAGGTTTGAGCCAGGTTGCAGTGACGGTCCAGGCCCTCCTGGAACTTGCCCCACCCAAGCAACAGCAGCAGCAATTATCTGCTGTTTAAGGACTCCCGGGACCATGGGCATTGCCTGACCAAAACAAGGAACAGGACAACGTGATTGTTGCTGCCCACCATCTGCTTAAACAAAGCTCTATGTGTTCTTAAGAGGGACTGTTTCCATGATTCCTAACAGGAATATTTTAATATTTTGCTTCATTTCTCCATTTTAGGGGAGATATATCTGTTTCCATTGAATTGTTTATGAAGATACGGTTGGTTTTTACAAATGAACCTTAATTCTGTTGCTGAGAACACAACACTGAAGCCTAAGCTGGCTGTACTTTCCTAGGATAGGTCTTTTTTCACATAGAAGAAAGAATACCTTCTTAGAAGGATACTTAGCTCCTTTAAAGTTACAGACATGCTATGACCTTTCCTGTTTCCAGGACCTCTATAGAGCCCACTGGTTTCAAAATTTGTTCATTAGAATCTCCAGGAGCATTTGTTTAAAGACTGATTCTATTCAGTTGGCCCAAGGCAAGACCTGGGAATCTGCATTTGTAACAGACATGGGCATTTCATGAAATAGACACCACTGTTTTAAGATTGGTAACTGGATGATTTGGTGAAGACCATTTTATTTTTTAGCCACATTAAAAATCAAGTTGCTAATGACTACATGAGCTGTTATGTTCAAGGCAAAACAAAAATAATATAAAAGGCCTTGACTTTCATGGTTAAACGATGAAACAAAGTTTTTAAAGGCCACTGTTTTTGGCCTCCCCCAACTCCAGTCCTTCACAACTTCTCTTTTTGTAGAGGACAATTCTGTGTATCATACTGCTATTACCTAAACATTACAAACACTCCATATAAAACTTCCAGGTTTTTAGGCTGGTGACTTGTGCTACTCAGCATCTTTGCCTTTATGGTTTTTGATCTCACCCTTCCCCCCCCCCCCCCCCAATGCGGCTCCCAAGACAGCTAGACCTGCAGATGCCTTCTAGTCACGGCAGATACACTTCCCATTCCCCAGCACTGTAATGGAAGACATGAAAATGAAGCAAAGGAATGAAGGGAAGAACAAGTTTCTTACACTTCTTCAGGTAACTACCAATCTCTGTGGCTGTAAAAAGCACTTGTGGCGTCTTAAAAATAGCCATCTGTCTTTCCATCTAGCTCATCCTGCTCTACCACTAGCGCCTTCCACTCCGTTGTGGTGGAGAGAGAGAGCGCGCCGAGGGCTCCAGCACAGACTGAGTGTTTGTTCCAGTTTAAGACACTTGGGTCTGTCTTCCCCTACTTTTGAAATTTTAATTGTCAGTGATACAGTTTGATATTCATTGCCCAAGGTAAACTGAGCAAATACAGAAAATGAAGTACTGGTTATGTAGATTTTTCTTCTGTTAACTATTCTGAATTTTCTTTACCAGTGCATGCATTTGAGCACAGTGTTCTGTCATGTACATGCAGCACCTAAATTTCACTTTGGATAAAATCATGTTGAATTGCTGATCAAAATGCTTTTTCTTCGTTCTCACAGGAAATAAGTTCATCAGAACATTACCACTTTGTCCACACTTAAATTCATATAATATAAAACTCAGAGCTCAAAGCCCAATCCTTCAGAATTCTTAGAGAACATAAATATAATTATTTTAAGTGCTTAGAGCCAGATGCCATTATATTTACAGTTCCAAACTCACCCATCTGACTTGTTCAGAATTTAGCTGTGCGTATTTTTCAACTACAGGTATTTTTCCTTCTCATCAACATCAAACCACAGTATAATCTTCAGGTTATAGCATCACTTGGAATGAAACTCAGCAAAGGACAGGATTGTTTGTTATATTATGCAAGGAATAATCCCACAAGATATAAAAGTGCCAAATGTGGAACATTTGTAATTCATTTTCCCATAAGAATAAGTGAAAAATTCAACATATTTCACATTTTACACACAGCATGAAACTTTGTTAATGTGTCTTTATCAAACTAATTTAAATGCTAAAAAAAATTATATACAGTTTTGGTTGGTAATATAAGAAATACCAAGTATATTGAATTTCTATGTTGATACACAAAAACAAATTGTGGTGTTTTTGTTAGATTTTTGTATTCAGTGTTTGTATATACCTTTTTTCTTTTTTAAACTAGAAAGAAAATTTCAGTTTAACATGTAGCCTTGTTAGATTCCAAGGTAAGATGAAGGTGACATTGTAATAGCTCCACCTGACCATTTATGAGCTGTGACCTTCTCAGTGCTGAAGTGCCCCCCACAGACCAGACAGTGGTTAACTACTGGTATTTTAAATCAGCAGGTTTCCAGCTTTCAAACTCACACATGCTTAGCACTCCAAACCAATTTTCTTTTATAATAACTGTCTAGAAATAACTGTCTAGAACAGAATAGAAGGCTTAGGAGTGGATCACTTTTCTTAATAACCTTTAAAAATACAGACTTATAACTAATCAAGTCTGATTTACTTACGGCTGCTCAGCAGTGACTATGCTGGTAAGCGCTTCAATGGTTATAGAAATGAAGGAACACATGGATATTTAGAAACCTTTTTCTTTACATACATAAGATGGTTTACAGCAGATTTCATATTTCAGAAAGTTGTTGTAAACATGTAATTAGTAAAATATTTTGTAAAGCATTGTCTATTTGTATGTAAATGTAATGCATAAGTTCTAAGTATAAATGTCAATATTATGTATGTTATTTTAAATTGCCTGTATTCCACCTTACACATTGACATTACAATCCTACACTTCAATAGCATGAAATAAAGGTTGATTTGAAAATACTCATCCCGAAAGCATGAGTTTCTTAGCAAACCAAATGGGTATGTAATTCCCCAACAGAACATCAGTAAAAACTAGGTCCTCATAAGTCCCTGAGATAGAAATTTACTTTTTTAAGGAAATAGAGGTATCAGGATAGCACCATATTTGGAGATAGTGGTAAGGTTTATTGTATGAAGTATCTGACACATTTGGATGACTTTTCTCTCACATATTACCAACCTTGCTACAGGAAAAGCTTTATGGCCCTCTCTGGTGGTACAGCAGGTTAAAGCGCAGCACTATGAAGCTATCCACAGGAAAAGCTTTAGCATCCAGAACATTCTATTCTGCAAGAATGACTCAATGGCAACATTCTTTTTATAGAGGAAGAGAATGACAATCCGCTTTGGTGCAGAGCACAGGTTAGGTAGTCATAATAATATCCTATAAGGTGAGAGCTACTAAATAAGCAAAGCAGGTACAGACACTACTGTCTCGCTTATCAAAAATATCCCCTAGCTAGTCTCTCAACATACATGTCCCTCATCTTTATTATGTGTGGGTTGTTATCCTAACATCTCATTTCTATCTTTATAATTTATATTCCTACCTATTACCCAGAAAAAGAAATAATACAGCTGATAATACATATTCCCCAGTAAAAGCAAAATGAGGAATCTAAACAGCAGGCAGAAATTAACCTTTATTAAAATTAACCTTTATTAAAACTGTGAGAATTATGCTGAACATTTTATAAACATCATCTTGTAATAACTCATGACAACTTTTACTCATAAGATTTTACTCTATAGATAAATTGAATGAAATCAGAGACATCACAGGATTGCTGAAGTTTTATTTATCACTGGAACTAAGCCCACAGTCAACTTTCTGAAGGACTGAGAGGACTCTATAATAAACAAGGCTCTTAGAAATATTCCCCAGCAAAAGTTTTGAAAATATAAAGCCCTAAAGCATAATCCTAATTCAGGGTGTGAAAAACAGACAAAGTGAAATAATCAGGCCTCCCTTGGGAATGTTCGAACAAGAAACATAAGTTATCTATGATTGTAAAATAGGTTTCTTACTCTCTTTAAGTATTCCTTTCCCTCTCCAGAAGGCCAGGGGTGAAGACAAGATAATTTGGTCACTATTTCTTGCCTCTCCGCTTGTCCTTGCCTTTGTCTTTGCCTTTGCCTTTGCCTTTTGAATCCTTGCCGTCATCTTTGTCCTTCTTAGGAAACTTGAAAGCACCAATTTCCCTCCGCACCATAGTGCCTCGCCACCAGGACTGGAGCTGGAAGAGAAGGGAGAAGTGAGCGCAACCTCATGTATCTGGCTTGCAGCCTTTGTTCTGATGAGGATAGTGCTCTTACAAAGTAACCTGTGTGAAAACATCTGCTTAGAGACATGGAGGTGACCGAGCATCTGTTTGCACAGCAATACTCCCCTATTGTGCAGGCCCTGAGGTTAAGCTATGGACTGTAGAATAAGGTTGTCAAGAATTAAAAATAACGAAACAGGACCAGACTAGCCTTCCTTTTTTACTCAGAAACCTTCCTTGTACTGCTGCTCTTCATGAGCATCCAAATTCCCTGTGTGTTCCCTAATATCTGTTTGGTCCAAAAGGGATGTTACCTAAACCACCTAACAAAAGTAAACACTCAGTGAAAAATGTGCCGATAATCTAGATGTGTTCAATAGGCTTTGCTGTGCACACAGTATCATTAATGTTTGGTTAAAAGATCTCTTACTATTAAAAAGAATTTAGATTGCTCCCTTGAATATCTTAATTAGAAACAATTTCTGAGAGATTGTCTGGGCTCCTTTATATATATAAAGACTAAGCAAAGGTAAAAGTAAAAGTCATAAGATCAAAAGATGAAGAGAAACATAAGATCAGCATACATTAGTGATAAAAATACTAAAAAAGATGAGAATAGAAGCAACCTACATCAATATAGTATAAAGTCCACAGTAAATAAAACACTTAATGGTGAAAGAGTATTTTCCCTTTAAGACCAGAGACGACAAGGATGCCCACTGTCACCACTTCTATTTAATTTAGCATGGGGGTTCTGGCTAGAGCAATTGGAATAATAACAGGAAATAAAGAGAATACATGAAATTGATTATAGAACTGAGGAACCCAGTGAGGAAAAGTGAACAAGGGGAACACAATGGACTGTAGTGGTGGGTGCACAGTGGTAATAACACTTGAAGGGGGTGGGGGAGTCCTACATTCCCCAAGTACAAACACGGATATAAACCAACATTACTTCAATAAACAACAAAAAAGAAATCCAGGTTGGAAAATAAAAAGTGAAACTGTCAATTACTTGCAGATAACAATATCATATTCAGAAAACCCTACTGGTTCCACAAAAAAGCAGTTAGAAATAATACAGCAAAGCAGCAGTTCACAAAACAACAAGAAATTGTGCATTTTTATATACAAAAGCTGAATAAAAAGGAAAGTTTCATTCACAAATGCATCAAAAAAATCAAATACCTAGAGATTAAGGATGTGAGACTTATAAAATGAAAACAAGATATTATTGAAGGGTTTCAATCATGACATTAGGACAATGGCTAGACATTCCATGCTTATGTAATGGGAGAATCAATACTACCAATCACTATTCTACCAAAAGATATGTACAAATTTAATGCAATCCCTATCAAAATATTGATATTGATTTAAAGAATATTTTCTTTAAAGAAATTGAACAAAATAATTAAACTTTGTATGGAACTCTTAAATAACAAAAGTCATCCTGAGAAAAAAGGACAAAAATGGAAGCATCACATGACTTTAAGCAACAGTAATTAAAATAATATATTAGAATAAAAATAAATGCATGGACCAATGTAACACAGTTGAAAGCTCAGAAACAAATCCATATATATATGAATTATTTATATATATAATAACTTAATTCATTACAATTAGCTTCCACCTTTTAATTTATCACAGCCTAGAATGAGCTGATTTAGAAAAAGGATTTAAGAAACAGTAAAGTATTAAAAAGAATTAAAGAATTATTTTGCTTATTAAATTTGACTTCTGGGCACAAGTTCTAGATTTTGCTTCTACTGCTAACCACCTTTTTCTCCCCAAGTTTCCCCCAAGCATGTGCTTTTCCATGACTGTCTTCCTATACCACGGACTATATTAGCAAATTCTAGTATTAGCAAAAAGACCAAGCCTCCTCACAGATCTCCTGTTCTGTGTTTGATAATGAAAAAGATACTTAGTAATCCTCAGTGCTAGTAAGTTGTGGCATTAAAGAAGCCCTGTGATGCCAGGAAATACTTTCTACCTTTATGATGCTCCTTAACTCCAACTCATCCTGATCTATCTTCTTTCTGAGCTTCTCCTTTTCAATGCGATCTTCAATGATGACTTGTTCATACTCCCTTATCTGCAAGAGTAGGCAACCATTTATTACAATACTCTCTTGACTAAGTTTTAGCCAGCTAGCACTTAACTTTTAATATAAAATTTAAAAATAAACCAAAGAAAAACTTAATAGATTCCTATATTTTAAAATTGAAATGTTAATTTTATAACTGTTCCCCAACTTTTTTCAGTTTGAGTGACAAAGTTTTCTTTGAAATATTCATAAAAATTAAAAACTAACATAATTTGAAATAAGTAATTAATGTTTTAAACTGATAGAATGTATGTATACAGGTATAGCCATCTTTTTTTTAAAGATTTATTTATTTATTCATAGAAGAATTGGTGTGGGCCAGAGATGCAGGAGGGAAGGTAGTTGAGAGGATTCACCAGCAACTGAGCTGGGAGCAGAACAGGCAGATCTACTGAAATACACTGCTTCATAATGCTGCAATCCACCAGGGAGGCCTAAGAGCCATTTTTTTTTATTACAAAGTTTATTTTTACATCATTTTGCACATTTTTTTTCCATCTCGATTAAGAGCCATTTTTTTTTAAAGAAATTGAGAAGTTTCTGATTCTCAGAAACTGGTTACTCAATGAGCCAGATTCTGTAGGATAGCCATTCTCACATTTGCCTGTCATTTATTAAGTAATGAAACCAATCAGAAGTTTTTCAGATATCATTTATACAAAGTGTCTTCTGAACTCATAAATAATAATAGTTTATATATCTCAAAGATTCTTGTGAAATACTAGAAAAGTACCTAGGACAAATAAGTGCTATAAAGGTGTTAGCTGCTGATACTTTACCAGTAATTTACTATCCTCATCATTTTTTTTTTTTTAGATTTATTTATTTATGCATACAAGAGCTGAGGTGTAGGCCAGAGGTGGGGGTCGCCGGGAGGTCAGTGAGAGGATTCATCAGAGAAAGAGTGGAGAGTGGAATAGGCAGACCTACTGAAATACACTGCTGAAGGGAACAGCAGGTGGGATAGGAGAGGTCTGCTGTGCCATGTGGGTCAGCTCCCTGGCTGGGGATTGAATTTGTGCTGCAGTGGCTGCTGTTGCTTACAGCTTCCTAGTGCTGACAATTAACCCCTTGCACTACCAGGGAGGCCCCAGCAATCATCATTTTCAAAGGGCCCCATTGACACAGATTACAACTGAGATGGAAAAAGGCACAAAATGATGGTGGTGGACCTGGTTAAAACACAACACTATGAAGCTATCACAGCCACTGTAGCACGAGTTTGATCCCCAGCCAGGGTGGGGATCCACATGGTGCAGCAGACCTCTCCTGACCCACCCCCTGCTCCCCGCAGGAGTCTTTTGTCACCTGCCTGTTCTGCTCCCCACTCTGTCGCTGGTGAATCCTCTCACTGCCCCTGCACCTCTGGCCTGCACCCCAGTTCTGTATGTGTAAATAAATCTTTAAAAATAAATAATAAGTAAAAGGGTGTCATTAATTTACAAGCATACCTCTACCCTGTGACCAAAAATAGCATTACCCAGCTATTGTAGCTTAGCTGCCACCCACTCCTCAGTTGAGTGAGACTGAGACTTACCATCTTTGCAAGGTCTTGAAGGTGTGATAAGTCACTGGCCTTAGCAGATTTGAGAGCATTTAGTTCATTCTGCTTCATTTCTGTATCTTTATCAAATTTCTCCATCCAGAACTCTAACTTCTCCTCAAGTTTCTATTTGGAAAGAACATTAAAATATTTTCTACCAGACATAAAACAATATATACTAAATGAAATCTTAGTTGTTGGGGGAGGGTTGGTTTACTAATTGGTAGTGGGGGCAAGGGGAGTCTTCTGGGAGACTGTAAATGTGCCCTATAGGTCTACCTGGGTGGTGGCTACAGAGGCATATATATATTATTCATCAAAGTGTATACTAATGTAAACCATTTCAGTCATGTAATTCACACAAGGGGGGAAATACACATATGGAAAATGGTCACTCCTATTAGTAAGCAAAAAATGCAAAGTAAAAACTCATTATCAAAATTTTTAAAATATCTACAATGACCAGTGCTGTTATGGATTAGCAAAGTTAATGCCTGCATGCATTGTTGATGCCAGGAAAAATTAGAAAGTGTTAGCAATACTTATCTAGAGTCATAAAATTACTTTTAGCAAATATTTACAATGAAGAAAAATGGTTATTTTGGCAAAGTTTTCATTACTACATTGCTTACAATTATGAAACTTGGCATTAACTAAGTATGCACAGTAAACAGGCATCAAACTACACATTTTCTAAGAATCAAAATGTTATGTGACTACTTTAAATTTATTTAATGAAGAGGCTGTATTATCACAAAAAGTTTTTAAAAATTTAAAAGTTGAAGAAACGTGGCATTTTTCAGAAAGATGTAATTTGTAAAAGAAAGATGTAGTATCTGTTTGATTCATTTATTATGTAAATGTGGGGTCCAGTTCCATTTTAAACCTGCTACCTAATTAGGAATATTTGATCATAACAAAGCTTCTCCCTGATGTAGCCATGTTAGTGGTGCCTATCCATTTACTATTTACCTAATAAAATTACAAGAATAAATCCACAAAAAAAGAGTGAAAAGCAATTAACAATTTTTTTAATCTTAAATGTGAATGTTATTTTTATAATTTAAAAATCCAGAAATTTTTATTTTAAAGTTCTGACTATGGAGAAATAGATGAAGAAAACAATTTCTTATATAATGCTAAACCATTCAAGAAGACAAAATTTGACCTATACTCAAATTATATTTTATAAATACTATGATGCATAACTTGTACAGACATCTCATTCATTATACTAGTAGAATTATGGTTAATTTTTCTTTCCTTAAAAAATTGCTTTACAGTCTTTGGCATTTTGTAAACAGAACAAAAACATCAAGATAAAAGAATTCTGGTGATGCACCTGCTGCTCCTTCTTAAGAAACATTTCAATCTCCATGTGAGTCCGATTCTCTTCTTCCACTTTCAACCTTAGTTTCTGTAAGAACAGTAAACAAGTATCAGAAGACCTCTCAGCAGGGTGGGAAAGGAGAGGTTCTCAATCGTAGAGGAACAGCCATGACAGCAGCACAGGCTTCCTTCACAACTGGATCTCAAGCATTTCACATAAATGCAGGGCAGCAAATTCAGATCCCTCCAATCAACTCTTGTTCACAAACATTGCTGAGAGAGGTGTCTGGCATTGGGCTCGATACCCTCAAGGGCCAATAATCTTGATGCCTGAAAGGTGATGCCAATTCAAGAAGAGAAGCAATGTCTCAAGGGCACAAGATTCTTAGACTCAGAAAAGAAAAGCCCAGAGAGCATAAAAGTTTGTTGTAATTGTCTTAAACCACATCTGACTGTGAGCTGTCAAATCAGCAGGGGGCTGCAAACAAGGAGTCTTCTTGCACACTGATGTTCACTCCTTCTCCACTACCCGCTGAAGTATTTAGCCTTCTTCCTCTGATAAAGGTTGCCCCTTGTTTCTTTCTCTCCATATTTTCCACTTAGACTCCTCATCCCTATCAATTTAAGGGTGAATGGAGTTCAATTGTTTAGATTTTGTATTTCCTAATGGAAGGATAGAAGATTCCAGTTGGGTGAGGAAAACAGCAGCAAAAACCTGCAGTTCCTAAGTATTTTATTTTGCCCTCTTCCTGTAATTTCCAGGAGAAATGGCAGGTTTTCATAAAAGAACTTTAAAGGGGCCCAAGGAAGAAAGCACAACACATTTTCAATATCATAAGAGAAAGAGGAGATTTAGGCTATAACCTGTCAGAGTATTTCCTTGCAAATATCAAGTCCCCATTGCTTTTAATTTTAAACTCAAACGTGAGGGCTGTTAGAAAGAGAATACAGGGCCTGCCCTCCCTGGTGGTGCAACAGGTTAAAGCACAGCACTATGATGCTATCACAGCCACTGCAGCACGAGTTCAACCCCTCGCCAGGGAGGTGACCCACATGGCATGACAGACCCACCTGCTGCTCCCCTTAGCACTGTACTTCATCAGTCAGCCTGTTCTGCTCCTCAGTCTATCTCTGATGAATCCTCTCACCGCCCCTGCACCTCTGGCCTGTACCCTAGTTCTGTGTGCATAAATAAATAAATCTTTAAAAAAAGAAGAAAGAGAAAGCAAAGATCAGGAAAAATCTCCCTCTTCCTCCTCCCTTTAGCTGAAATACTATCAGGAATGACAGTTTATATGCCATCTATCTGGTTCTTTCCTAAGGTAGTAGTGGTTACCTCAACCTCCTCCAGTAATTGTTCCTCTGTTTTGTTACATTTTTTCTGAGTCTGGGAGACCTGCAGCTCAGTGTTAATCTTCATGTAACGATTCTCCATGTTGGTTTTTGCTTTCATTTCTTGTAACTGGTCCTTTAGATGAGCAATATATTCATTCTGATTCTGTAATGGTAAGGCCAGATACCTAAATTAAAAAAAAATTTTTTTAAGATTTTTATTTATTTATTCATACAGAACTGGGTTGTAGGCCAGAGGTGCAGGGGCAGTGAGAGGCTTCACCAGAGACAGAGTGGGGAGCAGAACAGGTAGATCAATGAAGCACACTGCTCAGGGGAGCAGCGGGCGGTCAGAAGAGGTCTGCCGCGCCATATGGATCACCTCTGGGGCGGGCAGGGATCCAACTCATGCTGAAGTGGCTTAGCTTCTCAGTGCTGTGCTTTAACCCACTGCGTCACAAGGGAGGGCCCCCTAAATTAAAAATATTAATCTGGGCCTTCCCTGGTGGCACAGCAAGTTAAAAAACAAAACAAAACAAAACAAAACACTGTGAAGCTAGCTGCAGCCATTTCAGTGCCAGTTCGATCCCCAGGCAGGGAAGTGACCCATATGGTGAAGCAGACCTTGGTCTCTCTCCCTACTGCTCCCCTCAGCAGTGTATTTCAGTCCATCTGGCTGTTCTGCTCCCCTCTCTGTCTCTGGTGAATCTTCTCAACACCCTGCACCTCTGGCCTACACCCTAGTTCTTGTATGCACAAATAAATAAAAATAAATACTTTGTTAAAAAAGAAAACATTAAAATATGAATTACTTCACAGAATGGTGATCAAAGTTAGCTGGCAGCACAAGTAAACATTAGACACAAGCAAACTTTATATACAAATAACAAAATCGCATGGCATTAATCAGAGATCTATGTTTCTTTAAATACCATCCAACTTTAACCTCACCATATAAGCTGGGTAGAATTAGTCACAAGTAAATATTAACAGAAAAAACACAAAAGCAGGAATTAGTCAACATTACCCAACAACAAAAAGAAACAAAGAATCATAGGTACATAAAATCAGTAAGAAAGGAAGTCTTCAAGTCATTTTGTATTCTTGGTATAACTCTAGAAAATCATCCCAGTTGTGTAACAGTTATACCAGCTGTATGAGACCATCCCAAAAAGATGACTATCTCTGGCAGAGAAAATGCTACAAGCCCAATTGATAATACATCTTAGTATTTCATAATGTCCTGTAAGTTGTAGTATTGTAGGTAGCTCTATAATTGAGAAATATAATACAGTATTTACCCAAAAAATATACTAGGTAGGCTTAGATAACAGATCAATATCAGAAGGTTGAAAATAGGTGTAATTAGAGTCTCAGCAGGAGAGATGAGAGCAAATGGAACTGAAAAATGATTTGAAAACAGTAATTTAGAGTCATAAAAACACAGATATTATATAATCCCACTTTATATGAGGTCCTTAGAGTAATCAAAATTACAGAGACAAGGAAGAGGATGATATTGGCAGGGTCTAGGAAAGAGGGAAATGGAAATACGTTTAATGAGCACAGTGTTTCAGTTTTGCAAGATGAAAAGTGTTCTGGAGATAGAAGGTGATGATGGTTAAACAACAGTGAAATGTACCTACCGCTACTAAACTGTACACTTACAAATGTTTAGGTGGTAAATTTCATATTATCTGTATTTTACCACAATTTAAAAAATTATAAAATGAATAATGGGCTGAAAATATATAAGTTTTGTAAAAGACACAAATTTACATATTTAAGAATCCCAGTAAGACCCAAATAGTATAAGTATGAAGAAAACCACACAGGCATAGGAAACTCAAAAGCTGAAAGCTGAAAACTAAATGGTAAAAATAAAATTTCAAATGCAAACACATTATAGATAGAACAATAATTTGAAGGGCCAATATCTTCTCAAAATAAATAATGAGGGCAGAACACAATGGATAGCCATAAAACAATGAAAAAAAAATCTGTGAACTCAAAATTCTAAACAAAGTAAAATACCTTTCAAGATAGTCATTTCAAGGCAAAAGAAAACTTAAGAGGACTTCTCTGCAACAAACATGAACAAGAAACAAAGGAATTTCTGTAGGCTTACAGAAAATGACACCAGATGAAAATTTATTGATAAATATTTGGGTAAGTATAAGAATTATTTTCTTTTTAATTCTTAAAAACACATGCAGTTACCTAATACAAAACTATATTTTATCGTGAATTGTGCTAAGTGTGCATTAAATCTAATATGTATTACAGACAGAAGAAAAAACAGTGGTAGAAGCGGCGATTAGGATTTCAACATATTACTTTGTGAGGGGTGAGTAGACTACAACTATTCAACCTATAGCAACAACTTAAAAGCCTTGCCACCTTGTCACTAAAGAACATCTGTAAGTAGTGCTTACTACCCAGGAATTTTTAAAAACAAGGTACTTAACTAGAATCTTGAGATTGTCAATCTATATATTATGTACTTTCCATTTGTAGATTATAAGGAAAAGACTAAAAAATACACTGCAGAAGTAAATTAGATAAAAGGTTAGGTTCTAATGAACACAAAAGCACATTAAATCCATTTTGTACTTGAAACAATACCATTGAAACAACAAATTGACATTATTAAACCTAATACGATTTGTAATGTGTTTATTGTCTTATCTAGAACTACAGATTCTTACCGAAGTCTAAGAAACTGCCTCAAGGAGGTCTGCTGGGAAGGAATGAATGGTGTGGGTGGATGGGATGGAATCTAGAGGGGAGGGATCTCCCAGAGGCAATTCTGGACAAGCTTGTACATCTCAGGCCAATTCCCGTTATACTTTCAATGGTAAAGGCGGCCCAGGAGAAACAACACTTTTTCAGATATAACTTTTATTTGCTTAAGAAAGATGACTTCGGGCCCTCCCTGGTGGCGCAGCAGGTTAAAGCACAGCACTGAGAATCTAAAGCCGCTTCCTCATAAGTTCGATTCCCACCTGTCCCGGAGGTGACCACATGGCGTGGCAGACCTCTCCTGACCCGCCCACTGCTCCCCTCTGCAGTGTACTTCGTCGATCTGCCTGTTCTGTTCCCAACTTTGTGTCTGGTGAAGCCTCTCACCGCCCCTGAACCTCTGGCCTGTACCCGGTTCTGTATGCACAAATAAATAAATCTTTAAAAAAAAAAAAAAGAAAGAAAGAAAGATGACTTCTCTACAGCTATTCTAGAACAATAATTTTTGATATTGTCTAGGTAATTCTTACCTGTATTTCAACTTGCCGTTCTCTTTTGACATTAAGGTGTTGTTTTTGAAGAGATTTTATCTGCTTTTTTCCATTTTCTTCCCTAAAAGAAATTAGAAATTTGTGTTTAGAGCAGTACTTCTCAAACTTTAGTGTGCCAAGAATTATCAGGATGTTAAAAGGTGGTGCTAATAGTGGCAGCTGGGGAAGCACACTTTAAAAGTAGTGTGATTTGCTTTAGTTAACTGGAGGAGGATTTTCTGGCTTATCAGTATTGTATCTAAAATTGCTGCTGAAACATGGATGGAGCTGGAAGAGATTATGTTAAGAAAAACAAGAAGGAAAAAGATAAACATCAGATTATTTCACCTACATTCAGACTATAGAGAAACCAAACAAAATGTCAGGAAAACACAAATTTGGCAAGCTATGGGATCTGAGAAGGGAAAGGAGGGGGTCAAAGCAGGGGAGGAACTGGCCTAAGGGACTGTGGTGATGGATGACGGTTGATATGGCGCTGAGAAAACTACACATGAATTTTTAGGAAATACTAAAAAGTTAAGGCTTATTGAAAAAACACCCATGTTGTTAACACATTGGTATTATTTCCTTCCAATTCACATTTTCTACACGTATGCCCATGCTAGTTTTATTATATAAATACATACTATATTGTTTGTTTTCTACTTAAAATCGTGACATAATCATTTCCTCCATGTCATTACAACTTGGTAACCAGTACTTTGAACAGTTTCATATCATCAGTAAACTATAGACCATCCTTTCCATTCTATAATTCTACATGTAATGATTCAACCTCATAGAAAAATAACAGATTCAGACATTTCAAAGTGTATTTACATGCAAAAATACACACAGCTATACTATCTGCTGTAGCAAAATTTGGAAGCAATAGAAATGTTCAAACTTAGGGAATATGTAAATGTATTATATAATTACATATATTTGATAGTGAATATTATAAAATTAAAATAGGTATCTATAGTTTATAGGCAAATGACTTTTTAAAAAGTTGTGTCAGTTCATTTCCACAAACAATATTCACAAATGCTCATTTCCTTGCTTCCTTGCTAGCAATGTGGAGTCTAGAATAACACTTATTATTGCAATGAGATACAGTATGCTAGTACTGTAAGTACTTTATGTGAATTTATCTAATCTTTGTAATAACACTAGCATAGAATTTATTAACAATATTAAAGTGAAGAGAAAATTTCAAGGAAAAACAAAAAATATGCAGACAAGGTAAGTATTTATTCTGACCACTCAGGGTCCATGTAAAGAGGTCATTTTATCTTGGTCTCACAGCATTTTCATTGTGTTAGATTTCTTAAAGCATAAAAATCTTTGGAATTCATTGAGAGTCTGAAGAAAATCATCCCTTAGTGTGTCTTTTATTATCACTTGTTATTGTCTTGGGATATTAATCAGTGAACTCAGTATTGAGAAAGGCTACTATAAAATAGGAAGAATATACTTGATATAGTTTAAAACAGATAATTGAGGTAGAGGAATCTGAGTTATGTTCCAGCAGAAGAGATACAGAACCTTTATTTCTGACATGTGGTTCTCTTTCTTGGTAAACATAAATTTGAATTAGAAATCAAGGACTTCGGTTAAGAGTTTTAAAGCACTTTAAAAATACAACAAAATAAACAATATTCTGACCTTGCAATGATATCATAGAAATACATTTTTTTTTCCTTCTCTATGTTCAAAGCATTCAGGAGATTGGTGAAAGTACCTGTATCTTGCAACTCTTCCATAGTATCTATAATCACATCACTGAAAAATTCCCTATAAGGAGAAACAAAAAAAAGAAGTTAATAAGATATATTTCTGTGTTGACAAAGACCTAAGGAAGTCACAGAAGTTACACTTAGAGGGACCATCATAATTAAGTAGGATTTGCCCCTGGAATGCAAAAGTAATTCATTATTAGAGAATAATCTATTAATAGAATTTTAGCATGCAAATAAAGGCCAATAGACATTTAATAAAGTCAAAAGGAGAAAAATATGGTAATCACAAAAGGTATTTGGCAAAATTCAGTATCCACTCACCACTTAAAAACAAGGTGATGCAGGGGTCAAAATCTCAGTGCTATTAAACTATGACTACTTACTGCAAGTAGTTCCATTCCTAGCCAAGCAGCTGACCCACATGGTGCTTCAGACCTCTCTTTCTCACACCTGTTCCCCTCAGCAGTGGATTTCAGTAACTCCACCAGTTCTTCTCCCCACTGTGTCTAGTGAATCCTCTCGCGTGCCCTACCTCTGGCCTATACCCCAGTTCTTGTATGCATAAATTAAAAACAGTCTTTAGGCCCTCCCTGGTGGTGCAATGGGTTAGGATGCAGCACTGCAAGCTAGCTATAGCGGCTTCACTGCAGGTTCAATCCCCTGCCCTGGAGGTGATCCATCCATAGGGTGCAGCAGACCTCTCCCTTCTCTTCCTCAGAAGTGCTCCCCTCAGCAGTGTACTTCGTTAACCTGCCTGTTCTGCTCCCCACTCTGTCTCTGATGGAGCCTCTCACCGCCCCTGCACCTCTGGCCAGTTCTGTACCCCAGTTCTGAATGCAAAAATAAATAAATCTTTAAAAAAAAAAAAGGTCGGCCCTCCCTGGTGGCGCAGGGGGTTAAAGCACAGCACTAAGAAGCTTAAGCCACTTCCTCATGAGTTCGATTCCTGCCTGCCCCGGAGGTGACCACATGGCGTGGCAGACCTCTCCTGACCCGCCCGCCCGCTGCTCCCCTCAGCAGTGTACTTTGATGATCTGCCTGTTCTGCTTCTCACTCTGTCTCTGGTAAATCCTCTCACCCTCCGCATCTCTGGCCTGTACCCCAGCTCTGTATGAATAAATAAATAAATCTTTAAAAAAAAAGTCTAAAAAAAAAAAAACCCTCACATTTTAGAGTGAGCAGACCTAGGCTCAGAAATTTTAAATGACTTGCTCAAAGTCACATAACAAATTTGAGATAGAGCTAAAGTTATATAATACGGGTTTCCTACATTCTAGTTAACTGCTCTCTATATCTTCCTAGATCAAGAATTTTCAGAAATGTACTTAATGTTTTGATATAGTCAATAAAAAGTTAAATTATCAAATAATAATTTAACAATCGTTTTCAGAAAAAGATTCAGTAACTGTATTTTAAAAATAAGTTAAGACTCTCCCTGGTGGCACAACAGGTTAGGACGCAGCACTGAAAGATAGTCACAGCTGCTTCAGTGCGAGTTGGATCCCCACCCCGGAGGTGACCCACGTGGCATGGCAGACCTCAAGTGTCTTGCCTGCTGCTCCCCTCAGCAGTGTACTTCATCAGCTGGCCTGTTCTGCTCCCCACTCTGTCTCTGGTGAATCCTCTCACTACCCCTCCACCTCTGGCCTGTACTCCAGGTCTGTATGCATAAATAAATAAATCTTTAAAAAATAATAAGTACTTTTAAGTAAAAAAACTAAAAAAATATGAGCCACCATTCTGAGAATACAAAGAACATTTAACCAGCTGGTCAATTCCTACATAGGATATCTTTCTGTTAAGTATGTAGATCTGGGTCAGAGTGATTTTGGCATGAGACATTACCTCTTCCGGTGAGGGTCTAGTGCAAGGGGACAGATAGTATTTTTTTTTTAACTTTGCAGGCTATAAATTCTGTTGCAAATATTCACCCTTCCACTGTAGCATAAAAGCACTGGAAGACGCTGTGTAAATAAATGGGTAATGATACAGTACAATAAAATTTATTTTGAGAAGCAGAGTACAGGTCACATTTGACTAATGCCTTTGGATAATTGCTATAACTTCTTATTTGCCAAAAATCATTACCATTCTCTTTTAAACTTAACAGGCACTTTGCAACAAAAAAGACACGATGACAACAAAAAAGGGACTAATAAACAATTGAGAATGTCCTTCATAAGCCCCCAGGATTAAAACACAGTTTAAAACTTGCTACTTTAATGGTATTATGTTTCAAAGGGTAAAGTATCAAACTGGTACCAGTTTGTACCAGGCGCTGGGCTGAAACTTTATTTCTAATCCTTGCACTGATGTTGAAGGTTGCTGTCATTATTCTCAATCTTAAAAACTGGAAACACTGTCTAACCATACAGTCACTATACCGCTCAGTTGTACCATGCCACCATTAAGTATCCTTCAACTATAATCTTATTACCAGCCATCACTTTGCATGTAACCACCAATTCATGAGGAAAGGGAGCAGTTAGCCACTCCTGCATACACTGTGTAAATGCATTATTACATTTCCAAATATATACATTACCTATCAGTCTGAATTTTCTTCATTGTCTCCACAGTCATTATGGTCTGCCTTACAGGTTTTTGGAAGACAAGATCTTGTATTTTGTTAAACTCCTTTGCAAATAGGCTTCCTTTTCTGACTTCTGACAACTGGGATTCTTCTTTAGGTAAGGATAGACCAGGTAATTTTGCTTTTGAGACCAGTGAAAATTTTTCTAAATGTTTTCCTTCTAAATCCATTTCTTTGTTCTTCTTCTAAAAACAATAAATGATGTTTTGTGTAAGAGATATTTTTATAAAAAGCTACAAGTTTATTAACATAATACATTCTAATATGTATCAAAGTTTTAAACAGGTCATTTAATCTCAAATGAGATTAAAATTTAAATCTCAAATGAGATTAAAATTTAAATCTCAAATGAGACTTTTATTTAAAATTCATTTGTTCAATGAAGATCTCAGTCTCTCTTATATTCTAGGTATTTTTCTAAGCAATGGGACTAAAAAGGTGGCCATATTTACTTAATATCCTATCTTGTTCTAAAAAGAACTTGTGGCTAACTAAAAACAAACCAAAAAAAGGAGTTGCTGGTATTTATTCATGGATATTGTCCAAAATAAAAATGCAGAAAATCTTTACTAAATTATCCATGACTAGAAGACAGTTTTTTAAGGTTTAAAAAAAAACAACAACAAAGAGATATGAGGACCTCTGCTTACATTTTCAATTTCATATTCTCCCATTTATACTTTGTATCACAGGGAAATGGCTCTGTTCAGCCACACCACACCACAGTACATGTCCTGTCCTGCCAGTTCTATGTCATTCTGCCTTTAGACAACATTTTTACTCTGTTAAAACCCACCTTTAACACCTGGTAAATGGTAAGACTACAAAAGGTAAAATTCTTTGTGAACTATCTCTATTAGCAGACATTTACCCTATTGTAATTATTTGTATAACTCTCTCTATTACATTGTAAATTCTATAAGGAAAGGGACAGTATCTTAGAAATCTTGCATCACCACAAATTCTTTTTAGAACAAGATAGAATATTAAATAAATATGGCTACCTTTTTAGTCCCATTGCTTAGAAAAATACCTAGAATATAAGAGAGATTGAGATCTTCATTGAACAAATGAATTTTAAATGCAAAGAAAGGAGTGTCATACCAAAAAGCAGAAGTTGATAATAGATTTTGAAGATTTTGAAGGTCGTAAGGAAAAACCAAAATAAATTTTTCAGAACTTAAATATAAAGGCAACTAGCAACAACAAATGTTGGCAAGGATGTGGAGAAAAAGGAACTTTCCTGCACTGCTGGTGGGATTGCAAACTAGTACAACCACTATGGAAAACTGTTTGGAGGTTCCTAAAACTGCTTAAATATAAAAGGAGGACTAATAATAGGAACAGCATATGTGTAACTGAATGACTTCTATTTAATCCATGACTAACAGTTGGAGTTATTGAGAGGCCACATAACATAGTGATGGTGCAGATATACACTGAAACCAGATTTCTATGTTTGAATCCTGACTATCTTTACTAAGTCATTACTTTATTTAATAACTTACGCTTATTTTACTTCCATGTTCCCATTAATAAAATATGACTAATAATAATACCTGCCCTCATTTAATTAATATGAGGATTCAATAAATGAATATACTAAAGCATTTAGAATAGTACAATAAAAGTTCTGCATTTGTTATAGTTACCAATGTTAGTGTAATATTAAAACTCCAATACAGTTTATGAATGAGAAATTTATGATCAAGAAATTGAAATGGATTGCTATAACACACAACTAAATTGCAAAGCCAAATGACTCCAAATAACAGCTATTATCATTATTATTATTATTA